CATGAGCGGAGCCCGAAAGGCAGACCTATCTGCAAGCCCTTAGCAGCTTCACAAACTGTCGAAACCTTTAACGGACCTTTGGAACCCCACTTGAAGCTTATACTACCTCGCTAGTTTCGCAAAGGCTGCTGCGGCATCCTGCAGGCTGTCAAAACGTCTGTAGACCTACACATGACTCCGCACGCATCCATAAATAGTATGAGTCTTTTTTGGCTTGTGCCCTGAGTCCTGATTGTAGCGTTTGTTTCTCGCATGACGCCCAGGTTTCTCTTGCAGGCCTTGGATACCTTGCGCCGCCTGGCTGCACAAGCTTCATTGTTCCGCATAGGTACTCGATGCACTGAAATAGCGAGGAATATCAAAGCTTACTCGGTGATGTTGGCAGATTACTACCAGAGCAGCAAGCCATTTTTGCTTGGCTGTACTAGAGGCAGCACTCGGGCCACGACATGTTTATTTACTGGCACAGAGCTGATTTCCTGCGGGGTCGGACTTGACTGCACGTGCAGCGGCGAGGACTGAACATAGCTTGTGCCATATTGAGGACGAGCGCACGCATTCACACCCTCGAAGCAGCATCGTGGTAGTCTTCAGTGCGAAAAGTGGCCAGCGCACAAGGCTGGAGATCGAAGCCACACATGCGCTTTGCACATACACCGCCTGGAATGTTGGTCCTTTGAGCCGAGGACATCACTGGAATCCTGACCTTCGCCTCAGGTGTGGATTTTGTGTCCGTTCTTGTGTCTTACTGGTACCAGTTGTGCGAAGATGCTCGACACCGATCGAGCATAGACTCAAGCACTCCTGTTTTTGGCTTGCTGTGCCAGCGCAGGCATGTCGAGTTATGGACCAAGAAGCAGAAAGCCCTGTGAAGCCTTTCTCTTTTGTGACCGCTCCAGGGCAACCCGATTGGAGCGGCTTCGCCACGATCATCTACGCAGGGCTTCTAAGTCGCATTTTGTCGCGATGCAGTCTGCAGCCTAGCCTAGCGGATGGAGTCGGGCTTTGGCGCTGCATGGTGGGTTTGGGCCATCAACATCTCGAACCTTAGGTAACGTTGGTTTTTTTGTCAGTTCAAGCCACTAAGTTAAGGAATTGGCCTTTTGCCAGTTACAAGTTCCCTTTCCAGCAGGGTCGACCCAATGCAATTGCCAGCCAATGCGATGGAGCGTGGTAGCAGGTTAATTTCGGGACTCCGACTTTTTGTGTTGCTCTCTCGGTTAAGCTACGTTACAGCTGCTGCTGCTGCTGATTTTTGACATGGGCTGCCCTGCTTGGACCTGCGGCTACTGGGCCACAGGCAAATCTACTGCGAGTGAACCGTGACTGCGCGCCCCGCGAACATTCGCACTGTCCGTATCGCGCATACTCACAAATGCCACCATTGCCACCCACATGGCGGCATATTGTCAATCGTCAATCCACCCCTGTACTCCGACCATGCCAAAATACCGGTCCAAAAGGGTCGATCAAAGCCGATCCAGAACCCTGGTCCTGGGTCGGTCGTTGGTTGGCCGGCGCGGCATGGTGCTGTTGCATATTTACTAAGCTAACAAGAGGGTGCGTCTCAAGAAGCTGTCGTGCACGTCTTGTATTCCCTTACCGAGCTGAACTGTTGCCACGAGAGTCGCCGCGGGGACGACTCTCAGCCGCTGAATCTTCGAATGTGTACGTTTTGCTCATCGGCAAGAGCTTGCCTTCGCTGGTTATTCGATGCCCTGGCCAGCAAAAACACATATAAGCACCCGGCTGGATGATTCCAGTTCCACGACGCAAAGAAGCAGCTGAATGGCTTGGAAGGTCGGTTTCCCTCGTGCCCCCACCGTGCTTGCTCGACTCAGTTTCCATCTGGTCCAAAGGCTAACGAAGTTGTCGACTTCATGTATCATTTCGAGAAGAGTTTTTAGCCGATTTGGCGAATATCCTACTCCTGAAATCAATTCCTTCGTATCGCAAGGCGAAATTCTGGTTAAGGGCCAAAGTCTAAGTCTCCCTGAGATGGGGATTGTGTATAGCATGAAGTCGAAACCTTTCAAAGAACTGCTCGTTTAAGATGCGTGGATCTAAGAGCGGCCAACGCAGCTTACGAACAACTCGAAATGAGTCCAGCCCTTCGTACTTGTGGCCAACAAGTTGCCATGGTAAGGAGTGTAATTAGCTGCTCGAAAGCACAGCTTTTTCAACTGTTCCTTCGAAGTTACCCTGCAATGCGGGCTCGTCCTGGCTAAGTAGGAGGGAAAAAAGTTTCCCTGCCAACTCATACGTACTGAATCTGACTGAAATATTCCTCCGACCTCTAGATCCCGGCCGCTGTCTGAGGCAACTGACTTTGCCTTTTAGGTGCCCGTTGTTCTCCTGCGGACGACACCCCAGCCTGACAGCCTGTGTGAAAAATAGCTGCAGGTTCACGAAGCAGATGATAACCAATTAGCGAAGGAGCTTCCATGTGCAATGCAACGGGGCATCGGCAGATCGGGGTTCACATCCTTATCTCGCCACGAGACTGGAGTCATGAATTTGACAACGTCAGATACAACGTCCCTCTGCTGGTCTTGCTGACGGGGCAGATGTGCTACCTTGCGGGTCACAGGGTTTTCCCCAGAAGCAGCTCAAAAGTATTGTAAACACCTCGACACGTGAGATCGTCACCAATTTCAAGGGAGCGTGGGGCCAAGTGGCTCCAGCCTCATTCGGCGGAAAGCGCTGGCGTCAGACGCTGCTTTTCTCCAACGCTGTATATCCCAAGCCTCTGAATGATACCGGGGAATCCCTCTCCGACCCAGCACAGCGGGACATGTGTGACGGCCTCCTTGTTTCCTTTTCCCTTGCCTTCTCCCTTGCGCCGGCCTTTGCCGATGGTTTTTTGCGTTTTCCTTATTTCAAGCCTTCGCCGGAACCAGCTGAACGAGGTCTCATCGAAAACCCAGAAGACATCCTCCTTGCTGTCCAGGATTCCTAGAGCTACAGGCCGCAAGGTTACGCAAAACTTCCTTTGGACGCCAGCTCTATCGACTGTGTTATACTGTGTTTTTTGAGCCAAACAAAACCTGCCGTGTACATGGCTCACGGCAGTGGGCTGAACCGACTGAACCTGGCATCATGACTGGCAGGTCACTGTCACGCAAAGCTCTAGCTTTCAACGGGTTGCTCCGCGGAAGGGCGCGGAAGCAACAAATACATCAAGAGGGAGCACCTGTCACTAGCTAACCACAGCCTCTTTTAAGTCAACCAGACTAGAGGAGACCCTTGGACGTGGTGTTTTGAGTTCGGGGATTCAGGGTCTTGGAGTGGCCGTTCAAAGTGTCAGGGTTGTGGGGTGTTTAAAGTCTTTGGGTTGGGGTTGGATTGGGGTTGGGTTCGGCTCTGGGGGTTTTAGGGTGCAAACAGCATAGGATAGCATCTCAAAAGTTGTGAAACCCGTCTCACAGGCGAGGCGGGGGGAAAGCAAAAGCTGCTGAAGGGTATTGTGATCGGATTGAGCAGAGCATTGTGTCTCCCGGGCCTATCGTTCTGCTACTGGCAACTCGGAAATTCAAACCCCGAGTCTGCTGTGCTTTTTGAATTACTCCTTTGTCGGTATTGTTCGAAAGTACTGTCGCTGATGATATAACATGTGCACCATGCTTGACGTGTGTGATTCTTTCGCAAACACATCTCCCTGATCATACAACTGTCAATGTCGCGATCAACCCCGTCACTTCTATTCTATTGTTTAGACTAGCACATCAGGGGTTCTTAGCAGTCTGCATCATTCGGCAGCTTGGCACAGCTACCCACCACGGTTTGCTAAAAACACCACCAGCCTTTGAAGATGCGGCTTCCAGGCCACGCCTCCTAGGCCACCCGAAGCATTTGCTAGGTATGCCTGTACATGTCTGTATTATCTGCAGGTGAGGGCCACTGTCGACGGTGACGGCCAGACCTTCGAGAGCACGCCCTGCTACGCAGTGCGGGCTGACCAGCAGCCGGAAAAAGGATCTCAGTCGCAGCTTCAATTGTGGAGTGATGATTGTTGTTTGAAGCGGCTGCAAGCGCCTCCGAGGTCCGAAGGTCACAGTCACATCATCGGCTGGTTCTTTGACAGCTTTGGCTCAGCCTTGCACATCTTCTGAGCGATCGAATTTGCAGTTCATCGAGATGAAAGTTGCTCCTTCAGCAGCAGTTCTTCCAACCGCGGTAGATTGCAGTAGTGGGTTCTAGAAGGCAGACACAAGACATTGAGAAATCTGCTCGTGTTACCGAGCCATGGTGGGTAACCAACAAGGGCCCAGCGAGGCGTGGACTTTCCATCGGTGCATGGGCTGCTGCAGCTCGCAGCCGTTTGTGCGAGTACATCCCAAATCTTGAGTTTAGAGCAGTGCGGATCTTGGGCAATCCCACCACCTCCCGTCCTGCCAGGGCCCCGTGTGGTATCCGCAGCAGGATGTCCAAGTTGCCCTGCTCTGGAACCAGCCGCTTGCAGCAAGACAAACATCGTGTGGAAGCCTTCCACAGAGTGCTAATCGACGAAGTCCCAGAAATGCTTCAGCCTTGCTTCAGTACTCGTATGAATTTTCGTTGTTGCAGCTGACTTGAAATGCTTCAAAAGTTGATATTGCAGCAGTGATCCGAGGCTGAATGCTGTCCACTGCCAGCTGGCGCAGAGCAATCAGCAGCTTCGTCTGCCGGGAGCCGAGACATGGAAGCCAGGTTCAATCGTGGCGTGAGCAGTTGTTGTATTGTAAGCATGTGAGCTGTGTCCGGCTATGAGCCTAGATGAAACCCCTGAAGCAGCCTATCGATCTCAACAGATGTCGCCAGATCAAGCAGCAGGATGTCCAAGTTGCCCTGCTCTGGAACCAGCCGCTTGCAGCAAGACAAACATCGTGTGGAAGCCTTCCACAGTGCTAATCGACGAAGTCCCAGACATGCTTCAGCCTTGCTTCAGTACTCGTATGAATTTTCGTTGTTGCAGCTGACTTGAAATGCTTCAAAAGTTGATATTGCAGCAGTGATCCGAGGCTGAATGCTGTCCACTGCCAGCTGGCGCAGAGCAATCAGCAGCTACGTCTGCCGGGAGCCGAGACATGGAAGCCAGGTTCAATCGTGGCGTGAGCAGTTGTTGTATTGTAAGCATGTGAGCTGTGTCCGGCTCTGAGCCTAGAGGAAACCCCTGAAGCAGCCTATCGATCTCAACAGATGTCGCCAGATCAAGCAGCAGGATGTCCAAGTTGCCCTGCTCTGGAACCAGCCGCTTGCAGCAAGACAAACATCGTGTGGAAGCCTTCCACAGTGCTAATCGACGAAGTCCCAGAAATGCTTCAGCCTTGCTTCAGTACTCGTATGAATTTTCGTTGTTGCAGCTGACTTGAAATGCTTCAAAAGTTGATATTGCAGCAGTGATCCGAGGCTGAATGCTGTCCACTGCCAGCTGGCGCAGAGCAATCAGCAGCTACGTCTGCCGGGAGCCGAGACATGGAAGCCAGGTTCAATCGTGGCGTGAGCAGTTGTTGTATTGTAAGCATGTGAGCTGTGTCCGGCTATGAGCCTAGATGAAACCCTTGAAGCAGCCTATCGATCTCAACAGATGTCGCCAGATCAAGCAGCAGGATGTCCAAGTTGCCCTGCTCTGGAACCAGCCGCTTGCAGCAAGACAAACATCGTGTGGAAGCCTTCCACAGTGCTAATCGACGAAGTCCCAGAAATGCTTCAGCCTTGCTTCAGTACTCGTATGAATTTTCGTTGTTGCGGCTGACTTGAACTGCTCAGAGAAGTAGCTATTGCAGCAGTGGTCCGAGGCTGAATGCTGTCCACTATCAGCTGGCGCAGGGCAATCATCAGCTTTGTCTGCCGGGAGCCGAGACATCGAAGCCAGGTTCAATCGTTGCGTGAGCAGATGTTGTATTTTAAGCATGCGAGCTGTGTCCGGACACGGATTCAACCGAAAGTCACCCCAAGCCCTGAGCCTAGAGGAACCTCTGAAGCAGCACATCAAATCAACAGATGTCGCCAGAGCAGGCAGCAGAACTTGATCCTCCGTCTGCAACAGCAGCCAGGGCCTGAAGATCATTGAGCCAGCATGCGGGCGAGCAAGTGAGGGAGGAGATGAGGGAGGCTCCACGATCTGTGCTTGCCGGATAACGCAGGATTCGTCACTGCCTCTGGCAGCACGATGCGGACTTGACCCGGATCTCGAAGCTTGTGGAAAAGCTCTCGGAGTCTGAGTCTGCAGGCTGCAAGAAGCTGCAAGCGATCGCCTTTGTGAGCCCGCTGCCCTGACTTGCTGGTCAAGTAGCACAAGCCCAGGTGCCGCAAACATATGCTGCCGAGGACGGTAGGGCGAAATTAAGGCCCTTCTCCTGAGCACTTATCCTCAAGACTCTGGGAAGCATGGGTTTTCGCAGATGACGTCAGTGCTCAGAAAGTTTCAGCCTAGCCCTTGGATCATCATGCAACGTGGAACTACGCAGCATGACCGACTCGTTTTCAAAAACGTCGTCTGAGACGGTTTGCATGATCGCAGGAGCCTCTGGAAGCCAAGGGCGGGCCTCTGACTCTTGCGGCGCTCTTGCGGCAGCATCCTTGCCCGGCAGAGGGGTTCTTGGGCAGCAATCTGTTTTTAGCTTGGCGTGTGCCTGCAAGCAGTGCACCCACTGCACTGTGCCGAGGTCGGACGCAGCAAGCACGGACACTGGAAAAGACAGCGCTGGCAGTGACACCGAAGATGACGAAGATCCCGAAGATGCCGGCTGGATAAAGGTCCATCACGTGTCAGAGGAGGACTGTTATGTTAGCTCGTAGTTGCGTGGAGTGCTTGTTTGTGCTTTGTTCACACGTGACAGCGACCTGGACCGAAACCTACATCGCCCCCGGTCTAGAAAGTAGTTGGAATTTTTGGCATAAGGCTCGGCTGGGGTTCGTCTCAAAGTGCAGTAGAAGACTTGCATGCTGTGTCGCCGAGCAGGATGCCCACGACGAAGGGCAACATGGTGGTGATCAGCAGGCTTGGAGCCTAGACAAACGGTGGAAGTAACTAAAGCTACTGCAGGCCCCGCAGGCAGAGTTTCTCCAACCGGGATGGCGTGGGGGAGTCGCCACTTCGGACTACGACCTCTCCGCAAAGCAGTCGTGTTTGGATTTCTGGGGTTTTTAGGTCGGCAGGCGGCTGGGATTGGTTTTAAAGTGCAGCAGCATGCAGCAGCAGACTTGAATGTCGTGGCGCCGAACAGGATGCCGAAGGGCGACAGCGTCGTGATGATCGACAGGCTTGGAGCCCAGTTTCAAGGAGGAAAGTCGCGAACCGTAGCCACTTTGCCATCGTATCTTTGTTCAAGCTTTCAAACGATACAGATACTTTAGCTATCTTGATGGAGGGGTACTCCCTATATAGGTACATTGGGCCCAAAGTATATACTATTTGGGTACATGGACCCTTAGGGTTACCCGAAGTCCTATTTAGACGTCCTAAACCCTCCTAAACCCTAAACCCCTAAACCCCTGCGTCGAAACCCTAAACCCTAAGCCTCAAACCCTAAGCCTTAAACCCTAAACCCTAAACCCCTAAACCTATGTGGAGCCTTGCCTGCCTTGTGCGAGTGTGAGCGTCGAAACCCTTAAACCCCTGAACCCTAAACCCTCAAAGCCCCGGTTTTGGCTCAAGCCATTTTGGCTCAAGTCCGCCGTCAGCTGGCGTGTGTGCCCCTGGAGCGCGGTCGCGCCTTCCGGGCCGCGTCGGGCAGGCTTGAGCTCTCCTCCTCCTCGTAGTCCTGTTCTGAGGCCTCCCGGGTGCATTACTCCACCAGTCCCTCTCGTCGTGTCGTCGTTCGTCGGGATGGCGGGGTCGGACGAAAGTACGCTCCTGTTGCCCCACCTGCACCGTTCCGAACAACTGGAGGGGGGGGGGGGGGGGTGGATGACGCTGGGACGCCAATTAGCTCAGGGGCTCTTCTGGGGGCCGAGCAGCCCGACATGGTTATGCAAGAAGCGGCCCAGGATGCGCTCCGGGCCGCCTTGGGGGATGCCGTGGGTGGGCCGTGTGATCCTGGACCGGGGAGAGGGGTGGGGCTGGCGGAAACTGAAGCCAAGCAGGCTGAAGCAGCAGCGGTGGCCGCTAATCTCCTTGCTAAACACCAAGCCACCCGAGCCCCCAAGTCCTCGCCTAAAACAAGCCCCGAAAAGAAAGCACGACCTCCGACCCTCGATCCCGCTGCCGCCAAAGGACCGCCAGTGGGGCTGCAACCCCCTCCCCTTTTTGGGGGGGGGCCTGTCCCCCCCGACAAGAACAAACGCCCGCTGCCACAGGAGTACGACATTGGTGATGATGTCCCCCCGCCGTGGGCAGCCTCACTTCAGGCGGGCATCGACCGGCTTCATCGAGGACAACACGAGCAGATGCAGGCCATCCAGGTCACTAGAGATTCCATTCAGGGAGTAGCAGATAAGGTGCAGTCTTTGGAGTCGAGGCAGGATTCGCACTTAGAACGAACTGCGGCTCTTGAGCTCCGTTTGGCGGCTATGGAACAGGAGATGAGGGATTTTCGCTCTAGGTCTCCTAGTGTCACCTCAGCATACACTCCGACGCATTCACCTCGTGGGGCTCGTGGGAATCCCGCGCATGATGATTGGCAGGTTGTTTTAGGCGGTTGGAAGGATGCGAAACGCGAGGACATCGAACAAGAAGTGAGAGACTGGTTCACGAGAGCTGAGTGTGGCCCTCTCCTGCAGGCCATGCATTGCAGCTCGGTGCGTTCCAACACGTGTAGGGTCGACTTGCTGTACATGCAGGATGCCATGGCAGAACGACGTAAGGTCCAAGGCATGTGTGTTGAGGCCCTCCGAGCAGTTGCTCAGCCAAGCTCCCTTCCAGGGCAAGGGACGGGGGCACTTTGGGCAAAGCGAAACCGTAGTCCTGAGGAGAGAGCCCGTATTCGAGCCATAGTGTCCCTCAAGGCTCTTGTTGCCAAACATTTGCCCCCCAGGGACTTTGAGTTTGACTGGCGTGGAAGGTTCTGGGCTAATGGGGTCAGTGTGCTTGCCCACGTGGACCAGAAACGTCCGGATGATGGGGCTCTGTTGTTGCTTGATGTACGGGGCCACGAAACGGGATGGTGGGTCCCGGGTCCCCTTCTCGCTCGAACTTTGGGGATTGATCTCAAGGTCTTGCATACACACTTCGAGGTTGAGGCGTCAGGATCCCCCTAGGAGGGTGGCCGGAACAGGAAACGAGGGCGACCCCTCAAACCCGAATTCGTAGCATGTACCTGGAATCTTCATGGTAAAAGTCTCCGTGAGGTTGCTGATCTGTGGCAGGGGACTGTCCCATGCCCTGACTTTCTTTTTGTGCAGGAATTAGGTGCTTGTCCTGGGGCCACTCCTGAGGTTCAGGTCTCGGATTTTTGTTTTGGGTCTGTACCCTACAAGATGTATCACTGCAGCGCGCCCGAAGCACACCTCAACCAGGCTATTCTTGTCAAAACCGAACTGGAATTCCATGCGACACACAAGTCGGGGCTTCCCGTTGGTCTTGTCCTGCATGGTGCATGTCGGAATCACCGAATTCATTTGGCATGTTTGCATTTGCCCCACAGTAAACGGGTCAGCACCGAAGCTAAACCACGATCTTCTGCAGAGGAGGTTTGGAAGGACACCTTGGAGCTACTGGATTCTCAACTGCAGGATACAGGTGGCGAGGCCATGGTCATCGTCGGCGGTGATTTCAACCAGGACCTTCATGCCAGCTCGGACACCTTTTCGGGAATGGGGCTTCTGAGGGCTCTGCTTCAGAAACATAGCCTCTCGTTGCATCGTTCCGTGGGCATCACTTGGACGGCCCGTGGGGCTGCTAGCGAAATCGACGCTGTCCTGGCTCGTGTCCCTAGAAGTCTCACGTATGCTCACAAGCGGGATGACATGCGACTGGCGCTCCCCTCGGACCACTGCCCCGTCTTTCTGAGAATTTGCACCCCGATGCCGCTGCTCCACAGAGGCACACGCCCCACCACCAGGTGTGGCCGGTGGCTGCCCAGCATTCCGGAGCTGGAGAGCTATGCGGCCTCGGACATGGAGTTTGGTCCCTCTCGCATGTCTGAGTTGTGTTTAAAAGCCGAGCGAGTTCCTTCCCTTCGATACCAGGACTCTTCGGACCTTAAGGCCCTTATTGCAACCAGACGTGCCTGCCAGGACCCTCACACGAGAGCGAGCATGTTGTCCGAAATACGGGCACGCCGAACCAACGATCGGCACGAACACCAGTTGAACATTCTGCAGCGAGCCAGGGAAGGGGATAGGCAGGCTATCACGTACCTCCGAAAGAGTGCCGCGCATGCTTCGTTTGAAACCAGCTACATTGAGCAAAGAGGGGGGCAACAAGCGGCCAGCTTGGAACTCCGGCAGTTCTATGACCGCAAATACGCTTCCCTCCTCCCGCCTCCCACCGAGGAGGCGATCCATCGGATGATTGCTACACATTCCTCCGTTAGACCGCAGCCCTTTACTAAGGATGACTTAGGCCTGGCCATCGCCAAATGCAAGCCACGCACAAGCGCTGGCCTGGACGGAGTGTGCTATGAGGCAATCCGGACCTATCATAGATGCGACAAAACGGGCAAGCTTCTCCGCTTCATGAATCGTTTGCTCTTTGGGCAACAGCCTCTTCCCGAGAACTGGTACGAGGCCAAGGTAGTGCTCCTGCCCAAAACGCCCCAACCCTCCAATCCTGCTGACCTGCGCCCGATCTGTCTCTCTCCGTGCTTGTCTAAGATCTTTGGCAGGCTACTGATGGGGAGAGTTGCGCCTAAATGCCCGCCCTACCAAAGTGGGCAAATGGGGTGCAGACGAAAAACTCAGACGGTAGACGGCATCCTCGCGGCGCAGACAGTAATAGGAGTCTTACGCAGAAAGCACCAGGTGGAAGCACATGTGGCCAAGCTAGATATTAGGGCGGCTTTCGACAGTCTTTCCCATTCTTCGATCGTGCACTTCTTCATGCACTGTGAGGTTTGTCCCGAGATCCTCCTGCTATGGCGTCTGTGCTCCCAAAATCGTTTGCTAATGAGTTTGGGAACTGAGACTTGGCGTACCGAGGTCCGCCAAGGGATCATGCAAGGCAGCAGCTATTCAGCTGATCTCTTCGCTCGAGCTATAGATTTCCATTTGCGGGGGCTCCAGGCTCGGTGGAATACCGAGTTTCCCCGCTGGGCGGATGCAATAGAGCTCCCACATTTCCTGCTATATGCTGATGATGTCATGCTTTTTGCGATGGATGCTAGGGAACTTCAGGTCAAACTCAGGGACCTGACGGACACGTTGGCGGCGGTAGGGCTCTTTGTCAACCCTGCCAAGTGCAGCGTGCTTAATATTGAAGGATCGACGCCGGGGGTCTGGCTCCGGGGCTCTTGCACCCCTCTGCAGGGCAAGGACCGCTTGATGTTCCTTGGGGTACCTCTTGCACACACTAATGCCCCCGACATGGTCCTCATGCACCCGCTCAGAAAGATGACAAATTCTTTCTTTGCAATGAAGAAGATCTTGGACAAGCCCTCGACTCCGCACAGGG